AAGATGACTTTTAAATGCTTAGTTCTATGATAAAAACCATGTAGTTTTTATTGTGCATTACATATAACGCAATGCAATAAAATGATGATTGAGAGATGGACAAATAAACATTACTCAAAAGTTCCTGATGTTTTGTATTTGATATTCACAATTTAAGATGATTTTCTAATAAATTACTTATGGATAATCAGATCAATTTAAGTTGCTTTAGTCCAGTAGGTGTTTATCTTGTAATATTACAAAAAAATATTTAAAAAAATTAATCTTACAGAACAAGAACAGAATGTTGATATTTTAGAGGCTGTAGAAATGTGTGTATCAAATATAATACAGATGATTACTGTATTATTCTTTACAGATGATAAACTATGGTGAAAAGTTATTTCACTCTCATTAGATAAATTGATGAGGCAGTGACATGCATCATTAGATCGATGCTGACAGCAGACCAGGGTTATCAGTATTCACATACAAGAATGACTCACTGCAATTATGGATCTACAGCAGTTGCTTATAGAATTATTTATGAAAATATTTCCACACCATGGAAAAACAGAGTGAAGGACAAATTCACTGCATCTCTGCATGTTTCGTGAGTGCCAACTCAATGTCTAACGAATCTCGGATCAATCTTAGTGCTTGCCCTCTAATGGATAATCTCATATTTCTCCAGGGACATTGAAACAATGCAGGAGTGTAGATGCAGGCCAGTCATGGGCTTACATCTGTCCCACAGCACAACCTAAGAGGCTTTTAGTTGTTTTCTGTAGTTTGGGATCATGATCATTCCTTCCCAAAGTTCCTCACACCTCCAGATTCCAGCTCTAATTTCACAGTCCACACCTCCTGAAAGCTGCACCTAGAATGCACTCAAAGAAGCCTCTTAAAGTATTGCAGTTACATAGATTGGTTTCCCAAAAGAGGCGGGCAAGAATTTAAACAAACAGTACAATCCACAATGTCTTTCGCCATTGACTCTATATCTGTGGGAAAACTCTGGCTTGTTTGGATCAGCATGTCTGTGCATTAAACAGAATTGCAAAAGTATTGAGTGTACTCATGGTACAGATTGAGTCTTATAACATTCTAAATCTAAAACGTATCTAAAATAAGAAAGCATTTTAAAAAAAGAAGAAAAAAAAGAATGAAAAGCATGGTAAAATGTTTTCAGAGAATATCTGAATATACTGTAGTCTTAGAGTTTGTACATCTCTAGCATTTTTCTTGTTTTATGCATGAACATCACTAAATATTGTACAATTTCTGTTTCAAAAGGATAAAAACCAGTGGGGTAAAAAACAAGTCTTAATATCTTTAGAATCCTCTTAAGTAAATGTATCTTTATTTGTTTAGATATTTATAGGCTAACTAAAAACAAGACAAAATTGCTCATATAAAACTACCATTCAAAGTTATATATATACAGTATAAATATGTATATACAGTGGGTACGGAAAGTACCAGTGGGGTAAAAAACAAGTCTTAATATCTTTAGAATCCTCTTAAGTAAATGTATCTTTATTTGTTTAGATATTTATAGGCTAACTAAAAACAAGACAAAATTGCTCATATAAAACTACCATTCAAAGTGATATATATACAGTATAAATATGTATATACAGTGGGTACGGAAAGTATTCAGACCCCCTTAAATTTTCCCTCTTTGTTATATTGCAGCCATTTGCTAAAATCATTTAAGTTCATGTTTTTCCTCATTAATGTACACACAGCACCCCATATTGACAGAAAAACACAGAATTGTTGACATTTTTGCAGATTTATTAAAAAAGAAAAACTGAAATATCACATGGTCCTAAGTATTCAGACCCTTTGCTGTGACACTCATATATTTAACTCAGGTGCTGTCCATTTCTTCTGACCATCCTTGAGATGGTTCTACACCTTCATTTGAGTCCAGCTATGTTTGATTATACTGATTGGACTTGATTAGGAAAGCCACAAACCTGTCTATATAAGACCTTACAGCTCACAGTGCATGTCAGAACAAATGAGAATCATGAGGTCAAAGGAACTGCCTGAAGAGCTCAGAGACAGAATTGTGGCAAGGCACAGATCTGGCCAAGGTTACAAAAAAAACTTTTTTTGTGAAAGATTTTTCACTCTTTGTTATAAAGATGTAAGGGGGTCTGAATACTTTCCGTACCCACTGTATATAGAGGACAGAGGAGCCTCTTAAAGAAGTTGTTACAGGTCTGTGAGAGCCAGAAATCTTGCTTGTTTGTAGGTGACCAAATACTTATTTTACCGAGGAATTTACCAATTAATTCTTTAAAAATCCTACAATGTGATTTTCTGGATTTTTTTTTCTCATTTTGTCTCTCATAGTTGAGGTATACCTATGATGAAAATTACAGGCCTCTCTCATCTTTTTAAGTGGGAGAACTTGCACAATTGGTGGCTGACTAAATACTTTTTTGCCCCACTGTATACACACACACACACACACACAGAAAAAAGGGGTTTAAAATTTTACCTTTTGGGGTACAACAGCTTGTCCCTGGAGCAGTATCCTTAAAAGGACATATTTGGTAAAAAAGGTACAAATATGTAATTTTAAGGGTTCTGTTCCAGGGACAAGCTGTTGTACCCCAAAAGGTACAATTCTGGCCCCTTATTTGTCTGTATATATATATATAAATATATATATATATATATATATATATATATATATATATATATATACACACACACACACACACATATATATATACACACACACACACACACACATATATATACACACACACACAC